AAATCGTTCAAATTATAATGGGATATTGTTATTCTAAACTGTTTCCCAAAATTGATTGCCCTGTAGATCATAAAAACATTTCATTAAAATCAAATATGTCAATAAAGGTTCTGATTTTGTAGATAGTGCCGGTATTCTTAATGATCATTCCTTTAAAGAACAAATTCCTGGTTATTTTGATAATACTGAGCTCCCTCTTATTTGTGATGTTTACAAAAAATATATCCGGAAATATGTGTTTAATTATAGCGTGTGTAAAGATGTTGATATCAGTGACCATATACCTACGTCATAAAGTTGCAGTAATTCCAATTACAGTTATGGCCCCAGTTCCCATGTTATAACAGGAGACCTTAACATCGTCAATGACCGCGAGTTGAAATCATTCCTTAGTAAAGGTCCTAAATATTGCACCCGTCAATTATTAATTGGAATGAGTGTCGTAACATCATCAAGGACTCACTCCGTACTAACTGTATGAAAAAGATAAAACGAGAAAAAGATGACAAAAAATCCTTAGATTCTTTTTTATTTCAGTAATGCACATAGTTGATATTCGTATGAAACATTTTAAAGAACATTTTACTCCTAACAACAACCATAATAGCTATTTCTTGCATCAAACATAAGCTAAAAGAACTCGCCAAGGAATTTGTTCTTGTCCCGGCTGATAAGGCTGCCAATAATGTCATTATTGTTTGACGTAAATTTTACATTGAGGTTCTGCAAAAGGAAATCACCAATTCGCCAACATTCAAACTAGCTCTAATTTTGGAAAATGATATCTGTAACAAACATAAACTTTAAGCTACCTCTTTACAAGCAGAACCGAATAACGTGAAAGTTCCAACTATGTACTGGCTTACGAAGCTGCACAAAATACCTTACAAATATAGATTTATTTCGTCTTCAAGCCATTATTCCACTACTAAACTGTCTATTCTACTAATAACTATTGTACTTGGTACAATCAAAAACATAGTAATAAATGGTTCAAATAAGGCCTTTGAAAATAGTGAATTTAATTACTTTTGGCGTGTCAAAAATTTGTTGGAAGTACTTAATAAATTGCATGCTTATATTGGTGATTTCGAATCTGTTCAAAGTTTTGATTTTTCTACCCTATATACCACTTTGCCTCATAATCTCATTAAGAAAAAAATCACATACCTAATTGAATGGGCATTTAAAAAGTCAAAATGCGAATATATACCTTCAAACTCTTTTAAGTCTGTTTTTAATAACAACAAACAAAAGAACTATATCAATTGGGCCTGCTTTGATACCATAACTGCACTTGAATTTTTACTAGATGACATTTTTGTTCACTATGGAGATTCCGTATATCGTCAAGTTATCGGAATTTCAATGGGGACTAACTGTACACCACTTATTGCGGACCCATTTCTATAATGTTACGAGTTACAATTTATGACTAAAATCAGCAAAGACCCATCGAAACGACATCTGATACAAAAATTTGATATCACTTTTAGATATTTGAATGATATATTGGCTATCAATAATGACGACGTCAGTATAAACACTAACGAGATTTATCCTGCTAAAATGATTTTGAATAAAGCAATACTAACAATGAACACTGCCCTTTCCTGGATCTAACTATTTTTATCTTTATAATAGGAAGCTTAATACCAAAATGTACGATAAAATAGATGATTTTTCATGTCCTATTGTTAATTATCCATTTGTAGATGGTGACGTTTCCTTGTCACCATCTTATGGTGTTTATATATCTCAGCTTCTTCGATTCGCTCGTGTATATAACAACGTAAAAATCTCTGTATTACTAAAAAAAGTATTGCACCAGGGTGTTCGATATCACAAAAATGATACTTAATTTTATCAATTGTAAATATAAATCAACGTGCAGACATATTAAACGTTCAGGTATTTCACATCCCATCTTTTATGGTAATATTCTGTACAAAGCCCAACCGTGTCGTCATTTACCTCAAAAGCTAACTTAACATATAAAAAGACTTATTCATAAGGGATATAGTACACTACTATTGTCAGGTCATTTAAGATGGCATTTTTTTAAAAATTAATATTGATTTACTAATTTGGTCTTTGCATCGGAAATAAACAAATTTATTCCAAAACCAGTTGTTGGCATGATACGGGTTATGTTCTTCTCGTATATTTTATGATGGTATGATACTAAACCCCTAACTGGAGGGATTGTGCTTGATTTTCATATGATGAAGACATAATCTTTCAATCAGTTTAATTGAGGTCTGGAGCTGGCATGTCAGTAACTGCTAGAAGTCCTCTGTTAATTTATGTTGATTTTTGTCATTTTGCTTAGTTTCTTCTGTTACCTATTCTAACATCAGACTTTTGAACTGAGTCTTACTGTGCGTATTGTTGTGTGTTTGTTTATTCTACATTGGCTAGATTTATAGGAGAAAGGTTGAGATCTCACAAAACATGTTTAACTCCGCCGCATTTTTGCGCCTGTTCCAAGTCAGGAACCTCTGGCCTTTGTTAGTCTTGTATGTTTTTTTTAATTTTAATTCATTTATATGTTTCTGAGTTTAGTGTGACGACCATTTTTGCTGAACCAGTATACATTGTTGTTTAGTGGCCAGCTGAAGCCCGCCTCTGGGTACGGGATTTTCTTGCTGTGTTGATGACCCTTTGGTGGCCTTGGGCTGTTTTCTGCTGTTTGGTCGGGTTGTTGTCTCTTTGACACATACACCGTTTCCATTCTCTATTTAATTGCTTATTTTATAGATGATTTAATTTAAATCCCCTCAGACCCCTTTTCCAACTGACCACTGAATGTTCTGCACAAGAAATTTTTGTTATATCTATTTGGCGTTTGTTTATCTGTCAGTAATTAGGAAATAAATTCTCAGCAATCTCTTTGATATTTCCTCTTTACACTTGTTCATTTTTATATCCACGGTATACCAATGCCAAAAAACGGAAACGAATTTATAGGCAATGACGGTTATCTAAACATGTAAGTAAAATTAGACGTGTACTTATTGTGTACATTATTTCCAACGGGTTTCGGACAGGTTTGAATGTTTATGTCTGAAGACTTTAAAGGAATATCTTGAAACTAAATTGATTTTTATAGACATGAACTATCGGTTTATCATGCTTATATGTTGAAGATGAAAAGCAGTATTAATTAAAACATGACAAAAATTTGAATTCTAATTCTATCAATTTTTTTCGTGATTTTCTTAACGCTTACAAAATTGTAATCGTATACATATTCAAATGTTTTTTTTTTATTTCTCAATCAGAGCTTTGAACTGGGTTTATGACGAGTAGGCTTTCAGGTCATGTGTATTCTTAACATATGTTATCGTGTATGATCAGATTTACGTCACTGAATTACATTGACCGCTGATCGTCTTAAAAAAGACTGGAACCTAGTACTGTAATACATACAAATGTCGTTTATCTTTGAATTCTTTCATAACTTTTTTTTATATTGACATATTTATGATACTTTCGTCATCTATTTTATTCGTTCTGTAAATCTGTGCTGTTGAATCGTCATTAGTATGCATTGTACAATGCGCTTCTTTTTCACCGTTGTGCATGTAGAAAATTCAACCGAAATAGAAAAAACATGTCTCACCCGTAAAATATATACCTTATGATATTAATTTGAATCTCGAAATAAATCCGTGTATTGTCTGTATTATACTGGAAATTAATCGGTTATTACTGATGTCTTAAACAGAATAAACTGTTGCATGAGTTTAAGACAATAAGTCAAAATATTGAGTCAAAAAACGGTGACATCTCAAGAAATAAAGGCATTCTACGATTCTAATATAGTCACCACAACACATACTCATATGGCTAATTTTAAAATTTCTTTGTGGAAAAATCAAAATATTTATGATGTTTTAAATATTATTCCAATTTACACCATAAACACTGTGTATTCAAATATATGATCTTGCACCTTGAATTGCCGTTTTCACAACTTTTGACTGTGTACTATTGACCTTTGTCATCCTGTATTTCACTACTTTCATACTACGTTAGTGTTGACGGTAAAGATGTTTTAATGTTTCAAACGTGGTAAACTGATTGTGTACTATCTGAAGACTTGTACTTTATGTTTTTGTGCTTAAATATTTAATAAATAAGATTAATTTATTCATTCTGAAATACGAGAATCTCTGCAAAAAATTATTACCATCCTGTAATACACTACTTTCTTACTACATTAGTGTTGACGGTATTCGTTATTTGAAGAAAAACAAAATATGTTTCAAAAAGATGCTTTAATGTTTCAAACGTGGTTAACTGATTGTGTACTGTCTAAAGACTTGAACTTTATGTTTTTGTGCGTATGGCTGTCTATTTCGCGTTTCACTAAATCTATTTTACCGCTGTGCATGTACGAACTTAAATACAAGAATCTCTGCAAAAATGATTTGGTGTACATTATATCAACCATATCTCGAGATATGATGTTTAATTTCAGCTGATCAGATGTCCATTGTCGTGGATACGCAAATTTATGTATTAGCCAACATTTCGTTAAATTTTTCCATAAGTCAAATAATGATGAATATAATGCTGTAAACAAATTAGGTATTAGGCTCAACAATATAATATCACTTACATCATGTTAAAACGTTAAAAGTATATTGTTATTAAATGGGTGTTTTGATATTTATCCTGTATTATGTTCAAGTACAGTCGAATATGAACGAGGTTGTCTGTATTAGCTCGAGGTATATCAGAAGGCCAATACAGCAAATCGAGATCCACTATGACTGTACGAGGACATAATACAGGATTAATATGAAAACACACATTTGTTACACCTTATTTCACCAATGACTTAAAATAACTACCAAAAGCTGATAGAGGACAAATACGACTGTTGAAAGACTATCAAAGGGTCAGAATGATCCAAACTACTTATTTTATTTTCATTTAAGCATTTGTTAACTGCAAGGAAAGTACAATAACCCTAAACATTAATTGATCCAAAGTGTTTGGTATTTGTAGGATAATTATCCCACGGCGATAAAAACATATCTAGTTATTTTAACATTGATACATGTGCTGTATTCGTGTAATAAATATTAAAACAAATCATGAGAGGCGGTTGACTCTACGCTGCATGCTTATTTTTTAAATGAAACTGTTAATTATTAAGAACACATCAACAGGTGTTATCTTTATCGTGAATTGGCAATGTTTACTTTGATTTGTATTATACATCAATGTTATGACAATATAATGGTAAAAACTTAACACGACGAAAAGACAAACATTAATAGCAAACTTTAAAACAATAACATAAGATAAAAAAAAGTCGCAATTATTGATAAGAGACGTTTTTTTTTTTCTTTGTCTGAATAATCTTTACATGAATAAAGAATATATCGGAGGAAATCGTGTATTACATGTCTTAATTTATTTTCAATGCTGTTTTGAAATCGTCTTATCACTTTTTGTTTCCTTAGATTTTATGTTCGAAGAGACGACTAAAAAACTACCTTATTACCTATGTTATAAGCATTATGAAAAATATTCATCTTAATATTTTACTATATACATGATACACATGAATACATATTTGAAACTGATTCAATTTGCATGATTACATTTAAACAGATCAACAATAACTAATGAGTTACTCATACGTCAAATAGTTACCAACGTTTTGCAAATTTATTGAAAAAAAACTCTATTTCAATCTTGAAACAAAAGTGTTTTCCATGTAGGTAATTCATAAGGGACAAGAACATTTTACTTGTACAGGTAAAGTTTTGATTCAGAATGTTATTTAAACACCTGATTAATCAATAGATAAAATCATTGCAGTTCTTTAGATAACTAATTACAGTGAACACCAGCCATCGGTTTATGACTGTAATATATAGCCAACATCCCATGTTTTATGACCCATAATAAACGGTCACCATTTGATGGTGACCATACCAGATGGTTGACATCTATCAGAGTATGTCAGTTAGTGTACTCTACTTCGTTTACACTTCAAAATACAATTACGGCACACCGATAGTGCATGTCTTTAGGCACAAAGTAAGTTTCATTATATTTTTCGTGTCCCAAGATACATTTTAGAGGGGCTGAACATTTAGGAATTATTTTCGTGTTTCAGAATAAATAGGAATTAGTAAATAATCAATATTTTGTCAATGTTTGTGTTTAATGTAACAATATTATACGAAAATAAAGTACACAACTATATTGACAATGATATTAGCTTCATCTCTCCACACATTGCAAATCATAATCACCACGTTTTGAAACATCTGGTCGAACTATCATTTGATTGTTCATAAAAAGTGTTTTAACGTGCAAGAACATATATGTGAATACGCAAATTTGATAAATCGGAGTGAGATGATAATTAATATAGTGTACAGTTTTTTTCTTAAATGACAAGGACAATCTCAAAATTATTCATATGTGTATATGTTGTGGGTAGCGTATTAGTATCGTTGTATATCTTCATTTCTGAAGACGTCACCTTTTGTGAACGCCACATTACAGCTTTATTGTTTTAGTTCATTCGAGAAGCAGTTTAATCTAGTTCAAACACAATATCCATCATATATACACACGTCCAATATGATATCTGGAATACAAATTTACAATTTAACTTTATATTCCTAGGTAGTAATTGTATGTCTCTAATCATTGTTAAACTGCATACATTTATGTAAATTCAACGGTGCACAAAAACGAATATATTTTTAATTAGAAGTAAATGTCTTTCGTCATTTCTTTCATGTTTCAAGGAATAAACAGTACAATTTAAGTCTTTGCAATTCAGAAGGGATTCTCGTATTTTAGAATGATATAATTATGTCATACTTTACATCTTTTTACCTTGGTAAGTACAATTTGTATCATATTTTACTTATACTACATTTATATTGCTTTCATCTTGAAGTTCAATGAAATCTTACCATAATCCGGGGGTGGATGAAAGAAACAACAGGAACAAATGTTTAGAATTATACACACAATGATTTCTTCTGGTGGAGAACCCAATTTGAGGAATAAAAAGGGTCGCAGATTCCTACCTTTTGCAACGATCAGGTCTTATTCGACGAGCGCAGTCCAGGTAAACGTTTACATATTTTCAGGAATGGTTCCAACTTCTTTCAAGTTATAATTGCAATCATAATAATAATAAAATGGTAAACAATTCTTTTTTATGATAAATCCAATGTACGTTACCACATTAATGCTTGATATTGGTTTTTGAAGACATTGATTCAATAAGCTACATGCAGTATGTTGTAGCTTATTCTAAGTTTCAAAGACTTTATAACATCTCAATTGTCAGGCCATCATTCTAATAATTCTCGCCAAAAAAATCATCATACATTTTTTATCTTTTGTTTCACATGATTAAGTCGTTAATATTTGATAAGAACCGAAAGGAGCAACTGTCATGTAGTTTTTAGTCTACTTGGATCATCTGTACAATATACACTTATAAATCAGATGCGGATCCAGGAATTTGAAAAAAAGGGCCCAAACTAGGCAACGTTTGGAGTAGGACCATGTGAAAAGTCTATTGCATAAACCATATATGTAGCTCCAAAAAGAGGGCCCTGGCACACCCACTCACCCCCCACCCCATAAATCCGCATCTGAAAATATTGTTCATGCAGATGTCAATTGCTCAAAAGAAAAAAAAATGGTTTTGTGTATTTTAGGATTCAAATTAAATTCCCACATTTAACAAATTACCTTTTGTGAGCCTGCTTTAAATTGTTGTTTGTCAACAATTTACATGTATCAATGAATTCACTTTTTATTTTCTTCTGATACTTTGAGAAACATTAGTTATATCAGAGAGCATGCTTATAGTTTGATTAGGTTGACTAAATGTAATCTCTGCACTTGACATTGTAAAATTTGAGGTACCATTGCCTTATAAGTTATCTCGACCGGTTCGAGTGTTCATTGAAGCTACTGGAATTGTATCATTTTACTTGCAGTGGAGTATAACCCTGGAGGTGTATATTACATTGGATTGAAGAGGGCTGAATATGTGGTAATTGGCAATACTGTAGCCTCCTGATGTAACAGATGCAGTTGGTGTTGGCAACTGTGGTACAGGTACTAGCATAGCTAATACCATTTGATGGACTTTATTGTTAATCGCCTGTTCTGAGCTGACATGACTGCTTCAAATAAACTCAGAATTTAGGAAAATCTTTTAAAAAATATACATTTTTATAATTTTCTCCATACTTAATGACCTATAAAAATGTTCCTTGCTTGACAACAATAACGAACAATTCAAAATTCTGAATATTAACACATTAGGACTGATTGTTACTTGCTTAACGTATTAAAAGGCAAATATACTAATACTGATATATATTTTAAATATATTGAAGAAATTCCTATAGACTGGATAATAACCTGGCTTGACGGGCCTGTGGTGAATCCTGAAAATTGATACAGTTTGACTGTCCCTTTGGTATCTTTTGTCCCTCTTTTGCAATTCATTTCAGTAGAATAAACACAATCAAAACATTTAAACATAAATTGTAACAAATAATAGACAGATATCTTAATTATTATAAAGGCTGTATCCTTTTGCTTATTCAAAACATGTTAGGCACAAAAAAAACTCTATATTCCGTCCTTAATCAATGACACCCATATTTCAATGATCACATGTTTAAAATTACTCTATTGCTATTAGAAATAAAGATCATTGGTCAAGAAACAATATTATGCCAATGATAGGTACAGTAACCGTGCATTTTAATTAAATGTTGACAAATTCCGCAGTAGTCAATTCATGAATCGCGATTGAAAGAAAAAAATGGGGTTTGGGTGACAGTCACATGATGAATTCAGAATATTCAGTATTAACTATTTTCTTCTTTATTGAAAAGAGCCTCGATCTAAAAATAACAAACACTTGCTTCAGATACATTAACTTGATAATAAATACATTCGAGAAACTTTTTTTCACCATGTGGTCACATGTGCTTCTGTGGGTCAGTCGGCACACTGTTGATAATTAAATGCATAACTATCATTCGTTATGACAAAACAACTCACTTATGTTTGTTAAACTTCAACATACGACTTCAAAGGTTCAAATAGTTCTTAATACTTCCTGACAATATTGGAAAATAAACAAATTATTTTTGTATCATATTTTTGTTCGATTTTCTTCTGCCTTCCTTCTTGCACCCAAATTGAGAAAGGCCCGTTACGTCAGAATTTATGGCTCAATAACCACCAATTCGACTTAAACTTATTTAGTTATAAGTATGTCCGAAAACGGCACTATCAAAGACCATGCTGCACGTTTAGAAGTTCAGTAATTTCATATTAGTAGATTTGACACTGCGGATAATTAAAGTATGTTCATCAATGTGATCAAACGTGTATTAGCTTTTTAAACCAATAAATCTTTTGACTTTCACAAATTGATATGTCAAGAAAATCTATAAACTTTTTATTCATACGGAGAATCCTTACAAAATTGAAGATGACTTTTTTGTTATTGAATAAGCATTTGAATAATCAGAGACTGTAAACCAACTTATTTTCATGAACACTTTATTTCGCGTTTAGCATTTTCAACGACTTAGCGGCGATTTATTTTCGCGGTTTTCACATTTTCTTGGCATGTTTATATAAGGGAAGACCAAAGTATTACATATTTTTGACAATTTATAGTCGCGATATTTTTCTACTTGCGAAAGTTGCGAAAAAATCGCTCAAAAAAAAATTGGTATATAGTAATCGAAAGCTTAAAATTTAAAATATGAATCACTAACGTGAAGTGAAGCAGATATCAACATATATCATGTATTCATACATTCAAGGCAGACAAGACTTTGGAAATTACATTCCTCTAGCAGCACTGCCTGTTTTTATTAAGCTCAATTTTCGTTTGACAAGAATTAAGATGAAGGGTATGTAGTATTATTTTTTGTTGTAAGAAACCGTCAGAGGCCAATGGTATACGATTATTTAGTGAATAATGACATTGGTATGTATCAATCGAATTCGGTTAAATGATGTTTTGTCTTGACAGAATATACTGAATAAGAGATTTATTGTTTCAAAAGTAAAAGAAAGTCTGAAATATGTTGTTTCAACTAAGTTTGTTTCAAACTCATTTAAAACCAATTTAAAGATCATTTTCCACTTTAAATTCTAATCTCGGCGCTTTGTGAATTTTGAACTTACTATTAACTTTGTCATCTAACAACCATTTTGTTACAATTGCATTTATCATGTTTATCATAGACATGATATGCGGATAATTAATTCAAGAGGACCAATGTAAAAACAGAGGGCAGGTTGGAATGTGCCGGAATTGTTATAAAATAAGTGTAGTGATATTTGTGAAATGGATGGAAACATCATATATGTTTTTCTACTTTTCCATTACATTGTCTATTGTAATGATCAATAAGTAAAGATATAAGATACAAGTAAGTTTACAGTAAAAAAATCTTGAAACCAAAACAGATTCGGTAAATAACACTTGACACCCCTAGAATATCAATTTAAAATCTGTTTATTTCTGTAGATTGGCAGTTCTTTAAAATAATCTTGATATTTAAAGTAATAAGACAATTTATTTGTAATGCTGCATAGAAAACAGTCTTCAAAGTTATCTGTCATTGCTATATAAGTATATTATATATTTAATGAAAAAGAACAAAAACTCTAAAATAATGACAATAACAACAGAATATTTTGAAGGTAGCAATAACAGAATTCTAAAATTCTTTTTCGCAACGAATCTATTGTGATCGATATCAAATACTTATGCTTCAATAATAAAAGACAATGAAATACATATACAATAATACAAAATGTTTGATGTTTTGAAATACATATATATTATTTATCAGGATAATATTACCAGTTCATGACCACTTTAATTGTTTCAGGTTTTAAATATAAATAGAAAATTACAAGTCATTTTATATTATTTGTGTTGATTTCCAAACAATTAATTTCCTAACGTGTATTTAACAATCCTCCTTTATAATTGATAACTTGATACAAGGCCATTTTGACTATTTTTTCGTGTTTGTAACTGATAGATTTGGTTCCTTGTGCTACAACAGCATCACACGATTCGTTAGATCTATTAAATATCCATCGCTCTCAAAATACACAAAAGAAAACTCAAGAAACTCATTCCTTTGTATGACCTTGATCCTTTAAGATATAAAACAATCACTTCATTGAAATACAAAAAAACATAATAAAGGTAACTGTTGTCCAGAGTTTATGATATCGGTCACAAAATATATTCATTCCACCAGGAACAAACTGGTCGAATGCAAACGTGTTATAATGTCAGGCCTGAATAATCTACGACGCTGTAAAGCCATATTCATTAAAACTGTGAAATATGAAATATGAAATATGAAAAATATGAAAAATAAGCTTTTGGGTAATAAAGTTTATATTCTTCACATGTATTAAAGGTTTTGATTTGATATGAAGACGTGATATCTAGATCTATATTTAGGAATCCTAAAAGAATAATCTTAATCAAAGGCATTTAATAATTTTTAAACAATCACTGGCTATAACCATTTTTTAAGAAGAGGAAAAAACAACCAATTACCAAATCGAGGCATTGGTCCCAACATTAACTGCACTTTTCGTACAAATATTTGCTATAATTATTTTACTTTTCTTCAAGAAAGCTAACATGTTATCTTTTAACTTATTTTCAAACAATCTATGGAAATTTATCAATCTTCTGTTTGTGTGATTTCTTGTCTTTTTTTTCAGCTTTATTCATTTCCTCAATAACGTATTCTATTGGCTTATTGTTCACATGATTCAATTTGCCTTGTCTTGCATATTTCTTTTGTTGTTTGGTGTTTTCGTTAATACGTAAAACTATTTGAATTTGTTTTAATACAGTTTTTAAAAAGTTTAAAACGACAAGAAGCATCTGAATACAAATGTAAAACGTTTGTACAGTGAAAGAAAACAAAATGTATAGTAACTGTGTTAGATTATACACATAACCAACTTTGAAAACAATTCATACTTGTATCAAACTTTAATGTCAATAAGCAAAAGAAAAAATAAAAATAAAAGTGTACCATTACTAAAATCGGCCTAACTTTTTATCAGCCAAAACCGTCCAAGTGCATTTAAGGCATAGAAGCAGCGATACCGATCATGTTTTACTAAACAAAAAGTCAGAAGAGAAAATAAACAGAATTAAAAAGAGTTCGTAAGAATGAGAGGATCATCTAAGAATGATTCGAGCGATGCTTAAGGTTCTTTATATTGAAATGAGGACATGTGGTATGATTGCAACTATCCGTTTTAAAACAAAAAACAAAGAATTGAAAAATAAGTTTCAAGTGATACTTTTCTTTAATAATCATTTGTGTTGCTTCTTGTATTTTCATTTTAAATATTAACCGCGCAATACTATATTAGATTTAAAATAAAACGTATGAACGTTTCTCAATATGTATTGTTTATGTATATTCATCTGTACTCAATTCTCTGCAATTTTTTTTTTTAAAGGCTGAGCTATTCTAAACTCTATGTTTTGTAAATGTTTCTCCCCCCAAAAAAAATGATATCTAACGGTTGTCAGATGTCTGTTATGAATGGTTAAAAACTTACTTTCATAAGGATGACCAGTGACATCGGACAACCACTAGATATCAATTTTGTTATCTGTAATAGTACTTACGTATATCTCTTTCAATCCAGTTCCTTACATCAAGGAACACATTTTGAAATTATAGCACAAGGATAACATATTCAAACCATATCATATCTGATATGCTACTTTATTCATCGAATTTAAAGGAAAAATCAGATGCATTACAGATATCAAAACTTTACATTGAGTGCCTGAAGCTCTTAAGGGGAATGAACAGAAAATGTGTTGCCTCATTCGGAATCATACCTAATATAAAGCTTATTATTTTTAAGAATGTATTTATCTTTTCGTGATTATATTGGAATAATAATCTCAACCTTTGTTTGCATCTACATGTATGAACTATGGCACGTCATTTAATGGTCTAAGGCTGTATATATGTCCTAAATAATGTGTTAGAATTTTTTTTAGTTTTGCAAAAGTC